GGCTATGACCTCTACCTCACACACAAAAATTATTCAAAACGGATCATAGAATCATGAAAGCTAAAATTATACAGCTTTTTTTTAAAAAAAGGATATATTTATGTCCTTGGAATAGTCAACAATTTTAGAAAGAGGACACAAAAAGCTGTAACCGTAACAGAAAAAATTTGATAATTAGGCTTTTGTTAAAATTAAAAATGTATGCCCATCGAAAGACAACATGAGCAAAATGAAAAGGTACTTGTACAGGATATTTATAACCACATACTCGGAGATAGAATTTGGAACACATATATCTGACAAAGAATTTGTATCCATGGTATGAAAACTACTCCTACATATCAATAATAAAATGATAACCCATGGTTTTCTAAATGGCAAAAGACTTGAACCAACAGTTCACAAAAGAAGACATATATATGGTCCAATAAACATATAAATAATTGCCCAACATATTTAGTCATTAGGGAAACAAAAACTAATGAAATACCACTTCATACCACTGGAATGGTCAAAAATAAAACATTAGCAATACTAACTGTTGTCAATGACATGGAGCAACTGGAATCCTCATATATTTACAATGCAAGAGTGAAATGGTAGAACTACTGTGGAAAACAGGTTGGTAATTTCTTATAAAGTTAAACTTATATCCACCCTAGATCTCAGTAATAGCACTCCTAGGTACACTCAAGAGAAATGAAAGCATATGTCTACAAAAGTACTTGTATAGGATATTTATAGAAGCTTTATTTGTAGAAATCAAAAAATGAAAACAACCAAAATTTCACCAAACAGGAAAATGGTGAATGTATTGTGTGATATTCCTATAAAGGAATACTACTGAGCAATAAAAAAGAAAGAAATAACTGATAGGAGCACCAAACGGATAAATTTCACAGACATTGTGTTGAGGGAAAAGAACCTATACACAACATCATACAGCATATATTGTATGATTCCATTTATATGAAGTTCAAAAATAAGAAAAAATAATCTATGGTGGCAGGAATCAAAAGAGCAGTTGTCTTGGGGCAAGTCTGGAGGGAGATAGGGATTAACTGGAAAGGAACACTAGAGTGCTTTCTGGGTTGCTGAAATGTTCTAGATCTTGATTTGGGTGTTGGTTACATGGATATACGCATTTGTCAAAACTCATCAAACTGTACATTTAGTCCCTGTGCATCTTGCTAAGTATAAATTATATGAGAGAGAGAGAGACACCTTTTTACAGATTTATAGTCAGCAGGAAGAAGGGATGCATGCAGATGATCAAATCTTTCCCCACTAAAAGGAACTACCGCTATTTCCTATTCAAANGTAAATTATATGAGAGAGAGAGACACCCTTTTACAGATTTATAGTCAGCAGGAAGAAGGGATGCATGCAGTTGATCAAATCTTTCCCCACTAAAAGGAACTACCGCTATTTCCTATTCAAACATATGAGCTCTCTAGACCCCAGAAGCATTACTGCAGAGCACGCCCCATCTCCTTATTACCATTTTGCTCAGTAATATAGTAAATGCCATACCTGGGCTTTTATTGGTGAAATTAGTCACTTTTCAATTAGCATGATGGTTAGAAATGGGCTCTTAAAAATGGAATATTAGAAGCACTCTTCACTTTGCATAAAATGGGTACAAAAATCTAACAAAGCTTGTAGCTTGTGCACTTAGGGTGGGGTCTAGACTTGACCCCCAAATGGTCCTGTGTCCTGCTTAGGAGAGGCTCTGGTTGCCTGATGCAGGCTACAATGGTTAGAGAATGCTGATAGAAGCCTGCTTCTATAATACCCTCACAAGTACCTATGAGGAAGCTTCCATGCACCCCAAAACTCAGAGAACTGGTGGTATAACTGCTTGGACCCACTGGCTAGTGCACATTTGTTTAGTAAATGTCCACATGTTTGGCAGAATTTGGTCTGAGATTTGCTCTCCTTATAACCTGGTATCAGTGTCAAGGTTGTAGGGGAGTGACTCACAGGACCACCTAACCCTCACAACCTCTAACCTTTGGTTAGCTACCCTTATTTACTCAGGGTTGTACATGACCAAATTTGCTCAGTTTAATTTACAACAACGCTCCATCTCTTCAGCCATAGTCAAGAATGAGAAGGACATTCAAAGGCTGGGATTTTGGCAAAATAGGGAATTTCAGCTTCTGTGTATGTTTCACATTCTATTCCTTCTTATTAATTAGAATTTTCATTCCAATAACCCTGTGGTATGACTATCTAGACAAAGGACGCAAAGACAGTCTACTTGCATATGTTCCAAGGAAGCTGGGAAAGGAGAAATATTCCCAGAAAGGAAAAAGCTGGCCCAATGACAGGGGCACACCTGGGAACTGGGTGCCCCATCAAGACTACACATTCCACCACTGCTGTGCTGTGGGCTGACTCACCTCCTTCTCTTGATTGAAGTTCTCAAAGACAGCACTGTAAGACTCACTTATTTTTTTCTTTTCTTCTTCTGACTCTAACTCAAACTTTTTTGTCATCTTATTTTCTGTGGAGGTGAGAGGAAATCACTTATAAGCGTAACTGTGGGGAAAGCAGATGCAGAGAGAAAGAATATCTGTAGATAACAGAAAGTCCAGACTGGGTCAAGCCCAAGGTACTTCCAGCTGGGCGTTCGGGGAGCTTAAGAGTGAGGTCAACACAGTGGTGGCTCTCAATTACATCAGCCCTATGGGATTTACCACTAATGTCTCTTGTTCTTTTTGTGTAGTTTATTTTAGGTCTGTTGCCTATTATTTTGTTTGTTCTCTCTGCTGAAGTAACCACTATGCTTTCTTGAATATCCTTATCTTAAAATACAGCTCTTGGCTAAAATGACTTTTCCAGCAATATAAAACATTTTGTACTTAGCCCGAGGGTGGAGATAGGCTTAAAGGGTTCTGCTGGACTGGGAAGCTGTCAGCATAGACCCAATCAATACCGAACAGGAGGAAGGAGGGGTGAAGAGCTAACACAAATTTCTTCAGCATCACGGTGCTGGGGATGGATAAAGAGGCAACTCCTAAACTCACAAGATAAGTATGGACTGAGCTACACTCCGAGCAGCTAAAGCCTGGTCTCCCCAAACTGCTTGTAACATCTTAACTTAGACTTTGACAGTGGGGGATGAGTGTAGGAGTCTGGGAGGTAACATGGCCTGTGCTCCACCAGGATTCTAGGCAAAGCCTCAAACAGGAGCAGCTCCACATTCCATTCCCCAGTCTTAACTCCAGGGTCTTCATGCCACCTTCTAGCAGACCAGTGTCCCCACCAGGGTAGGAATGGCCTTAAGAATTAACTTTACCAGAGAGTATCTACGTTTAAATGAGTAATTTGTTAAATCAACTAAATTTGATATGAACTAGGTTGGGGTAGGACGTGGAATAGGTTTGTAGAGGCCCCACTCCTCAACTAGTCCTCTAGGCCAGGGAACAGAGTCTCCATAAATTCCTCTCTCCTTTTTCCATTTATGAAGATGCTCAGGGGGTAGGAGGCTCACCTACAGAGCACTTTGTATGATCCAAACTCTGTGCTAAGTGTGGAAATATTAAAAATATATAGCAATATATAAATGTATCAAATCAAAATGTTGTACACTTTAAACTTATATAATGTTAACCTTTTTTGTTTTTTTTAATATACCTTTATTGATTTCAGAGAGAGGAAAGGAGAGGGAGAGAGAGAGATAGAAACATCAATGATGAGAGAGTCACTGATTGAGCCCGCAACCCGGGCATGTGCCCTGACCGGGAATCGAACCCCGATCGCCTGGATCCCAGGTTGACGCTCAACCGCTGAGCCACGCCTGGCTGGGCTAAACTTATATAATGTTATATGTCAATTATATCTCAATTTGATATATATCTGTATCTATATATGTATCAAACATGGCTTACTGGGGAGGGGGTGTCAAATATAGAGTACAATCCAGTACAACTGACTGTGTTACTCCTCCCCTAGCAACTGAATATTTGAAACCTAATTCAAGAACTTTTTCTCTGGAACTTTGGAGTAACCTGTAGCTAGATAACAAGCCCACATTCTTACAGATGTCCCAAAGCTTGTTCCAGGTTATGATGGCCAAACTTGGAATCAGTGAGTTTTGAAAGGTATAGGCTTAGAATCTCAGGTGGCTGAACTTCATAAAAGACTCCATTCCTGCTCGGCCGGGCGTGGCTCAGCGGTTGAGCGTCGACCTAGGATCCAGGCGATCGGGGTTCGATTCCCGGTCAGGGCACATGCCCAGGTTTCGGGCTCGATTAATGACTTTCTCATCATTGATGTTTCTATGTCTCTCTCCCCCTCTCCTTTCCTCTCTCTGAAATCAATAAAGATACATTTAAAAAAAAAAAAAGAAAGACTCCATTCCTGTCACTTTCTTGAAAACTCCAGGCACCTTCCATTCAAGGAGCCTAGTCATGCGGCTCATCACCCTTAGTGAATCCAAGGCTGCCTTCCTTGAGTCGAGACCAAGCTTAATGGCCGTTTTTTGGTGCACCTATCATCAAGAAGTCAGAAGTTTCTGTACTCACTTTGCTGTAGCAGGATCTTTTCCCTTTCCAGCTTCTCATACTTCTCCCATTCTGCTGTCTTCCTGGACCACTTATCTTCCATTTCATCATAAATGCTGTCCTGTGGAGGCACAAAGGCAGCATGAATGGCCCTGAAAAAGGCTGCACACTGGCCCCAGGCACAGCACTGAGCCCTTTGCAGCTTTCCTCACCTGGGACCCTTGTTGGGGGTCGGGGGGCTATATGGGTGACTGGTGAAAGTAAATTCCAGACCAGCACNCTGGGGATCGGGGGGCTATATGGGTGACTGGTGAAAGTAAATTCCAGACCAGCGCCGCCCCCCACCCACCCCAAGAGCTGCAGAAGCCTGAAAGTCAGACTCTGCCTGGTGTTTGCCCACTGGAACTGAGCTTCCTTTCAAGAGAGGTAGGGTTCCCCATGTTGAAGACTCCCATGTAAACTCCCTGACTCATGACTCACTCATAAGTAGTTCAAGAAGAAACAGACGAAATGCCTAGTAGTTAACGTGAACACTTAGAAAACAATACGATGTTTTCAGAGTGTCCATTTCCCTCGGCAGATCTAACTTCTTTTGTGGTTGAAGTTAAATAAGTCTAACCAGGTGTCAACCCTTGTCGATTGGCTTAGACTTCATGATGGTGGGACCTCAGGAAGGGGAAGGCCTGGGAACCAGACGTTGCCAGGAAGGTCTCAGAATCCTGACTCCCTTCCTTGTCAGGTTAGCAGCAGAATTCACACTGGGCCTGGGCATCACAGCTCATTTGTAATTCTTTGTGGCCATTTAAATAGAGGTTCTTTCCATCTTCAAGGCTGGTGGTAAGCTAAGTTTTCAGAGAGGTCACGCTCTCTGGAGAGGCCCAGACTGAAGCAAACACAAAGTATACATAGGAAACCGGGATAGCTTACCTGCTCACCAACCTGATGCTTCTCTTAGGCTCTGGTCTATGATGTTTTCCCTGACTGTATCTAGGCACATCTTGGAACATAGGCTTTGGACTCAAGCTCAAAACTGAAACTGTGAGTGGTAAATCAAATTTCAGAGGTGGTGCTGGTGCTTAACTTGATTCCTCCTTTGATAGGGTGATCAACTACCCTTGTTTGCCTGGGATTGAATTGTTTCCTGGAACTCCAGCCTTTTGATGCTAAAACCCAAAAGCCCCAAGCAAACCAGGATTAGTTGGTCACCATGGGATGGGGGCTTGCTGCCTTAGCCCTTCCCTGTCCATTCCCTATCTTTTACTCTCTCGTCCCCCTAGGAAGAAATCCTGCCCAGCTCTGTCCCTGGGCCTCCATCAAGTTAGCTGATTAAATGAATGGGTTATGTCTGAGATGGCTAGAGCATTCCCATGTTCTGCTAGTGGGAGTAGCGCAAAGTGATACAGTCTTTCTGGATAGCAATTTGGCCAAATGTATCAAAGACCTTTACAATGGTTCTTCCTTTTGACCCAGAACTCTATTAAAATCAAAGATGTCACAAAGTATAGATATTAATAGCCGTTGTCTCCGGGTGGTGATAGTTTTTTTCTTTTTGTTGCTGCTGTTGTTGGTTTATGTATTTCCTTTTTTAAAAAACACACTGAATGAATAAATAAATAAACAAACAAACACTGAGCAAGTATTACTTTTGTAATCACAAACATATTTTTTGATGGGCTTCTCTAAGGTCTGGATGATTGACTTGTCACACATGGAAGCCATCACAGCCCGAAGGTTCACTCTTCTCCCTGGGAGCAATTAGTGTGTGCCACTTTGGTCCAAGGACACTGGGAATCTGAAGAAATTATTTTCTGAGCCAGAGCTCTAGATTCATCCCAACATCATCAAGCAAGAGAATGAGTCTTGCTTCTCTTACTCTCATAATCCAACAAGGAGCTCTGAATCTCACCTGATACATATGAAACATATTCTTCAAATACTTGTATTCCTTTCCCATCTCCTCTGGACAAAAGGAAAACAACAGGTCATCACCATTGCTCTGAAATGCACACTTTCAAGTTCAAATGGGAGCTCTCTTGTATGCCTTCCCCACCTCAAACTCACCCCCTAGGTGGTACAATCATGGTATGCCTCAAAAATCACTCTGGAAGCTTATTAGAAACTCAGATGCCTGGACCTCACCCTACATCTACTAAATCGAGCTCTCAGAGGAGAGGCCTGGTATCTGTCGATACTATGCTTCTCAGGCAATTTTGATGGACACCAAGTCTGAGAACTAAGCCCCAGGGTAAACCTGAATCTTTGGAAGGAGAGAAGCAAAATCTCATAGCATGCACCTGACTCTCTCTTTTCAAAATAACATTTCCTAGTGTACACTAATTTTGAAAACAATACATGTTCTCTTTTTTAAAAAACTGGGAAATCAGCAAGGTATAAATACCATCTTTAAAAAATGAAAGGCAATGGGAAGGGAGAAGGTTCTAGAATTTCTCCTTTTCTCCGTGAACATTAGTCTATAAACTCACAATTCTGAAGAAGACACATTTTCCTCTTCTCCAGAGCAGCATAAACAATGGGATAAATGGCCAACACAACCCATATGGATTATAAAGCCACACAAATCATAGTGTGCCAGTTAGGATTTAAAGAAACACCATTATTTTGCTAGTGAGGAAACTTGCTGAATTAGAATAGTATTATATTTGCAGAACTTTAACTATACCTTAAAAAGTGCTTTCCCATTCTTATCACTCTGATAAAGGCAAGTATTGCTGTCCTCAGGTCTCAGATGGGGAAATGGAGACTAGATATTAAGGGACCTGCTTGTATCTCAAAACTTGGTCACAGGTCCTTCCATTTTCTGGGTGTAGGAAGGACACTGGTAGACATGGCTTCCCTCCTTTCAGCTTCACTCTCAGTTGCTCCCTCTCTCCCTGAGCTTCAGGAGGAAACCTTGAAAGTCTAGTTACAGCTCATCCGTGGCCATGAGAGTTCCTCAGCTCCAGACCCACATGGTCAGCTTCCCACCCCTTCACCCTGGTCATTGTTCCAGGTCCTGAACGTACCTAGTTTCTCCTGGGCAGCCAACTTCTCTGCCTCTAAGGCTGCTTTGCAGTTGCTCTCCAACTCACTGAGCTCTGCTGCATGAGACTCTTTGAGCTCCCTGTGGGACCCCGGGAGGAGGTCACAGCCATTAGTGAAAAGAAGTCCAGGGCTGAGCTGTTATGTTCACCTAATCCCACCTCTCCTCCCTCACACAGGAAGCCAGTGGGCAGGCTGGGGAAACCTCAGTTTTTGTTTTTAATTCTCACCCAAGGATATTTTTTCCATTGCTTTTCAGACAGAGTTGGGGGGGAGAGGGAGAGGGAGGGGGGGAGAGAGAGAGAGAGAGGGAGGGAGAAAGAGAGAGAGGAACACTGATGTGAGAGAAACATCATTTGGTTGCCTCCTGCATGGGCCTGGTCAGGGCCAGTACCCACAGGTTGGAGCCCACAACGGAGGTACGTGCTCTTGGCCAGAATCAAACCTGGGACCCTTCAGTCTGCAGGCCAGCGCTCTAACCACTGAGCCAGATTGGCCAGGGCAGAACCCTCACTTTTTGATGCATTTTCCTGGCACCCATCCAGAGAGGGGAAGAGGACTCTTGTTTTCACCAATCACTATTTTGAATGGGGCCCGTGGGTGCCATAGATGCCCCCTAAGAACACAGTCTTGAAACTGGGCCGCATTAGCTCCCCGGATAATTTTAGAGTCCAAGGTCTCTTCAGTCTCCTTTCCAGTGTTCAAGATGAGTGTTAAAATGAAAGGCTATATAAGCTGTCATGCCAGGAAAAGACATGAAGGAGCCTGAAATGCATATTAGTAAGTGAATGAAGCCAATCTGAAAAGGCTGCTGCAACTATATGATTCCAACCATCTGGCATTCTGGAAATGGGAAAACAATGGAGACAGCCAAAAGATCAGTGCAGTGGTTGCCAGGGGTTAGCAGAGAGAGGGATGAATGGACAGGTCAGAGAAGGTTTTCAGGGCAGTGAAACTATTCTGTATGATACAAAAATGGTGGACACACGTCATTATACATTTGTCCAAACCCATAGAATGTGTTTTGACAACACCAGGAGTGAACCCCAGTGTACACTATGGACGTAGGGTGCAATGCTGTGTCAGTGCAGGCTCATCGACGGTAACAGGTGCACCATGGTAGTGCAGGATGTCAATAACGGCGCAGGTCGTGCAGGTGTGAGGTGAGGGGGTATGTGGGAATTGTCTGTACTTTACACTCTATTTTACCATAAACCTAAAACCACTCTAAAAGATAAAGTCTACTAAAAAATAATTAACTTAAAAATTGTGGGGTTTTTTTTGTTTTGTTTTTTAAATATATCTTTATTGATTTCAGAGAGAGGAAAGGAGAGGGAGAGAGAGAGACAGAAACATCAATGATGACAGTGTTATTGATCGGCTGCCTCGAGCCTGTAACCTGGGCATGTGCCCTGACCAGGAATCGAGCCCCGATCGCCTGGATCCTAGGTCGAAGCTCAACCGCTGAGCCACACCCGGCCGGGCTGTGTTTTTGTTTTTTTTTAAAAAAACAACAACTATATGTCTATGACTCAATTAGGAAGACTTCTCTCCACCAGGGCTTCTGAGGCTACTCTGGTGCTCAGCAGATAGCATGGAAGGGATTTTGTGGGTTTCGTCACCCACACAGACAACACACTTCATTTGCTTCCCCCTGGTTTGTCCTGGGGCTCTGGCTCCTGTCCCTCCCATAGCTCCTTGTTATTTTGCCCATGCCCTGACCTAGAAGCCAGGGAGAGTAGCAGTAAGAGGAGAAAACAAGGAAGATGACAGGAGGAGGCTGGGCTGAGAACAGTTATCTACCACAGAAATCTCATACAGGAAAAAAAAATGGCTCTTCTCAGCAATCAACAAAAAGGGAGATTATAATGGAAGTAATTGGATGAGAAACTACAAAACCAGGAATAACCTTCACTGTGCTACATTTTAGTGTCCTCAAAGCAAACCATCTTGTTCTCCAAAGACATGCATCTCATCCCCCCCCTCCCCTTGCTACCTAACTCCATTTGACACTGTCTGAAATCCCAGTGAACTGAAGTCCTGCAAGGATGCAGGAGCCTTAGTGCCTTCAGCACACAAGGGCTTGTGCTAGAAAACATACCTGTTCTTGTTTTCAAAGTTCTGCTTCAGCTCAGCACAGCGGAGATCCATTTCATTGGAGAGCTGGAAATGAGGCCATCATTGGCAACGCAGGACTGAGGACCCCACTCCCACTCCAGGCTGCAGCTTTTGAGAAGCCTTCTCACTCATGGGGTACACACCACTCCCCATGTCTCTCCATCATTACTGAGGGAACAGAATGATTCTTGCCTTGCTCTGTGTTGTTTGGTACGTAATCAGTTTGTAGTGTTGGTGCATGGAAGCCATGTCTGTCTCTATCAGGTTTTGTGAGCAGGTATGGTCCTCTCTGAGGGACTGTAATCTCTTTGTAACAGAGTGGCCTTTGGACCCTCAGATACATAATTCAATTGAACAATCATTTCTTAAACAAAGGGCTTCGCCTGGAAGAGCCTAAGAGGTTCTAAGACTCAGACTCTGCCTTTGATGAACTTTAAATACAGTGTTAAATCCTCGCTGGCAGAATGGTTGTGTTCCAGGAGGCAGGATTTGCTCACTTCCAGGTGACCCTCCATTCTAACACATCAGGTCCTCTGGCCACTGACTCAGGAGGAATGGAAACTTCCATACTAGTTAGAGTCCCCCGCCAGCTGAGACAAGGGCTCAGGGCTTGTCCTTGTCCTTCTCTGACTAAACAGTGGCACCAGCAGTCCTCCCTTGAACAGGGTCACATAACAATTTGGGTGTTTACAGGTGGGAGAATTTTATTTTATTGTATTTTTAGGTGGGAGAATTTTAAGGGTCACAATCTGAAGTCCTCATGGAAGTAGTAATCTCTAAATATGTCTTCAGCAGGACTGATGCTTCAGTGAGTGAAAATGAGCATTTTGCCCAAATAAAGATAAATGCTCTTAGGCTAATTATTTAACTTCTTGAGATTCAATTTTCTTTCAGTAGAAAGAAACCATAAACCTGGCAGCAGATAAATATAGCAATGACTCATGAGTAAGGGAGGGCTCGATCTGAGTCACAAACTGAGTCCCTGAAGGATTCAGAAGCACCTGTGGTCTATGAGACAGTGAGGGATGGGCCTGCTGGGAATTCAACCTTTACAAGTGTGTTTCAACAACAACAGTCAAAGGGGAGGGGAGGGGTTCTGATTATTGCTCTGGTTTATCATTCCAGCACAGGCCACCAGGCACACCTGCTCAAAGTGGGGAAGAAGAGACTATGATAAAATAGAAGGAGGTGTTACCAAAATCCCCAGGAAACCCAAAGAGTGCAATTCACATGAGCAGAATTTGAAATTGGGGCTTTGGTAGTTTCAGTAGCAACAGGAAGTGGGTACTGAAGATTTCTGGGTAGCTTTTGAACAACACTGGAAGCACTGACCACACTAAGTAAGAGCCTCCACAACCTCTGAAGCTTAACTCACCACCAGGCACGAAACGGCCAGTGCCCCCTACTTTTGAGAGGTTAGTGGCACCAAACACACCAGAGGCACAGGGAGAGCTCCCAGAAACTGAGTTAGGCCTTGAGGAAGGACTTGAGTTCTTGCAATTATGGAGGAGGGTGGAGACAGAGAAATACTACTGGGTGACCACAGTCCTATCTTCAGAGCTCTTGCCTGGACAGCATGGCTCCCGTGAGTCAAGAACTTGGCATCAAATTACCAGATAGCAGGTAATTTGAAAATCTTGGTCCTTCCCGTACCCACAGAGATGTCAGCTAACTTAAGGGTCACTCACCAATTTTTTGGCAGATTGATGGTCTCTGTTCATTTGCTCTATTATCGTTGTCAGCTCTGAGATCTGCTCTTCTAGGTCAGTAATGATATCAGTCCTACGGGATAATTAATTCTTGAATCATCCACAGAGTTTCTATTTTATGCCAGTTATGCCTCTTCCCAAGCATGACCAACTGTGGCCTGGTGAGACCTGCTCCACCATCACTGGGTTGGGAGAAGAGGAGTGAAAGATGGGGGGCAGGATGTGGCAGTAGGTTGGTTGAGCCCTTTGGAGTAAGCTACCCAGAACCGAGTGGGGTGGTCTGCTGGCCTATTGAATAGAAGGGAAAGAGGAATATGTCAGAAACCTATTAGGGTTTGACCTTGATTTGGTAATGATAGTTGAAATGGAGGGGGTAGAAGTTCAGAAAATTAGGAAATGAGAAGTGGGGAATAGGATTGATGCTGACAGTGAATCTTAGGGAATGGGGCAGGAACAGAGAAGGAGGGCATTTAACAGAGTGGCTTCCAGACTTGATAAAGGTTTTCTGTGCTTCTGGGAATGGGGCCTCCATGATGTCTAAGATTATTCAGCTCTGTTTTGTTGACCTGGAGTAGACAGGGTGGTAGGCAGGGCTGTGTGCAGTGCAGCAGAGAGGAGGTCCTCAATTTAAGAGGTTGAGAAAACAAAAGGATGTAGGAGGAAAGGGCATCAAGGTACGAGAAAGTTGAACAACAGAGAACTCCTAACACAATCTTCAATATAAACAACGCTCACAGCTTTACCAGGGGGAAAAACCAAGTATGGCTATTGTATTTTATTATGCCACAATCGGTGACAGCTCTTATTGAGGCCAAGAGGTGGTTGAGGGTACTACTGGCTTGACTATGGATGCATGGCCCAGCTCCTCCTGCAGAGAGCCTTGGATGAGTAAGGCAAAGAAAAACAGAGTCTGAATGTTCCCACTGGAGGGAAGACAGAGACTGGAGTCTGGTTTCTCTAGGCCAGGTCAGGTCAGGCTGACACCACGCATGGCATCTCTCAACAGTGAGCTTATGTGTCCTTCAGCCTTATGTCCAGTCTGAATCTCTTCCCAAATGAAACCACTGCTAACAGTTTGGATATATCCTTTCTATACACTTACAAATAAGTAGGTGATTTGTGTGTGTGTGTGTGTGTGTGTGTGTTATTGTTGGTCTTTTAGATTTCTGTTTTGAAAAAATAATTTTCAGAGCAATTTAAAGCCCAAGGAAGAGACACTTCTTTGGGAGCCATTGCAATAGTGCAGGTAGGAAGTAACAGATGGGGAAGGGGAAGGAGAAGATATAAGAGATTTAGGAGGTAGAATGAAAAGGATGTGGGGACTGCCTGTACATGGCATTGGAGGGTCGAGAGTAGGTGGGACTTGAATGACAGAGAGGATGACAGGGTACTCAACTGGGACAGAGTTAGGCCAGAATCTTCCATGCTGCATCTCCCAGAGGCATGAACTGAATGGTACCTTTGGACATAATGAAAAAGGGATGCATACTCAGGCCTCCCAGAAACCCTGACTTTAGTTCTCACTCAACATATTTGGACTATTTTATGAATCAGTTCATTACTTTCAGGAAAAATTGCTCTCCTTTAGTATGAATTACACACTACACCCAATCATATTCCAGATCAGCTGCCTGACTTGACCTTCATCCTGACTAGAATGGGACTGGAGCACAGAGGCTGGGTGGAGAGGAGCGGGCACAGGGCTGAGGCATGAAGTGGCTTGCAGCACCTCCAGAGCAGGGACCCTGCAACTGGGAGTGGACGTTAGGAGTTTATTCTTGAGGCCAGGCCAAGCCAGGCAGGGATAGGTCTGAGGAGCTGGATGTTGGTCCAAAGACATTACCTGGGAATTTTGATTTTGTCCATGATCTCTGATCTCGAATGCTTTTTCCTACCAAACATCTCATCTCCCAAGGTGACGGAAATCTGCTCCCTATTCCGAAAGAGGCGATAACCAGGTGACACATTGATCACTTCCTGGGCATCAGGGTGGAAGATAAGATAATATTGCAGAGTGCTGAGAGTCCTCCAAATCTATTAGTGCCCTACTCATATCTAAAAACAGAGACTTGAGATGGAAGTCCAGGGCCCAAGTCCTTCCTGTTTCCTTCCCCAGTTATCACTCACCCTCCTATCTCCAGATTTCTCTCCTGAGACCCAATCTCAAGACTCAACTGGATCCTGGATGTCCCCATATGCCTTTCAAGCTCAACATTTCCAAAACCTAACTGTAGACACCCACTCCACACTCTATACCCAGCCATGTTTCTCCTCTATGTTCTCCATCATGGCCAGAAGCCAGGAGGCAGCTGAACATTGTGGAAATCACTCAGTTTTTGGAATTAGACAGGACTGAGTTTAAATCCTGGCTCTGCCACCAACCACAGTTATTCACCATTTCTGTGCCCAGTTTCCTCATCAGAAAATAAGGAGCCCGGCCGGGTGTGGCTCAGCGGTTGAGCATCGACCTAGGATCCAGGCAATTGGGGTTCAATTCTCAGTCAGGGCACATGCCCAGGTTGCGGGCTCGATCTCCAGTCGGGGGCGTGCAGGAGGCAGCCAATCAATGACTCTCATCATTGATGTTTCTATCTCTCTCTCTCCCTCTCTTTTCCTCTCTCTGAAATCAATAAAGATATATTTTAAAAAAGAAAAAGAAAAAGAAAATAAGGATAATAACTTTTCCTCAAAGGGATTTTGTGAGGATAAAACAAAATAACATCTGAGAAAATGCCAAGCACAGTTGCAAAAAAATTTTTTTTAGTTACTTCCTCTTCTGTTCCCCACTAGATGCCAAATCATAAGTCTGGGCAGGACTACCAGCTGTCATAGATACAACTGTACCTTCTAGAGTTGTGTAGGACACCCCTGCAGGCCACAAGTGCTGCCATTGTTATTTCCTAAAAGTATCTCATCCTCACACTCTCCTCTGATAGCCCTGCCCCTGACATAGCCTGAGGCCCCACCATCTGTCTCTTGGCGCTGGAGATACCTTCCCAGTTGGGCCTCTCTACCTTCAGTCTGGCTTTCCTCTCCACCTGGAGGGCTACCAGCCGTCATATGACATTTTTGTTTATTTTTTTCCTGCCCATTAGGGATTGCATGATTCTTTTTTAAGGGGGTTGGGGAGAAAGGAAAATAGATAAAGGCAGAAAGTACTAAAAAGCACCAATTATATCCCACCAGAGTGTTTTTCGCTAAAATGCAAATCTTACTGGTCCCATGCCCATGTCAGACCTATAAAGGCTCCCAGACATCAAAAATATTGGGCCTAAATTTCTAGGCACATGTCAAGATCCTTCAGGGTTTGTTCTCCATCTCTTTCTCCTGTGTGCTCCTGCCCCTGTCCCCCTCAGGTGTTCTTATGGCCCCCTGCCCAGCATTTGTGGATTCCCAAGTATGGCAGAGAGTTCCCTGCATCTGGGCATGAGCTGTCCTCTGGTCTGGACTGTCACCATCTGATTTCCCTGGGACACTCTCTTCACCCTGCACAAGGCAGTACAGAGGTAATTAAACGCCTTCTATGGGGTCTAGCTGAGCCCAAGTCCTGATCCTGACACTTAGCACTATATGCAGTAATTCCAGCACCTCTTCATAGGATCATTGCAAAGATTCAATGAAGTAAGTGCTGTAAAAGGCCCATGCCTGCACACAGTAGGTATTCAATAACTGTTAACCCCACCACCTTCTTTCCATTTTTACTCACATAAGGTAAATTATTGCTCTCCTCTTGTTTTCCTAAATGGGTTTTCACTCTGTAAGAGAAAGGCATGCTCAGAAGCAACCAGAGAGCAAAGAGAAGTTCCAAGTTCAGGAGCAGAGCCCTGACCCCCCCCACTCATCTGTAAAAAGTGACATTCCTGGAATGATCTCTGAGGCCCCATTCAGCTCTCAACATATTATACTGTAGAAAGGAGAGAATACTTAATGTTCCAGGGATCACTGGTACACAGGCTGTGATAAAATGGCAAGTAGTGAAAAAGTGGGAAATCGACTAGTCACTAGTCTAATAGTAGAGCCATTCCTGAAATAAGGGCCAAGAAACTTGGAGTGAAATCCAAAGGGCTCTCCTATGAGGATGCTGCATCCTCATAGGAGAGCCCTTTAATCTTTAATGCAAACATTTTTTAGTGACATGTATGTTGTCTGCACAACCACCTTTTTTCTCATTTGCAAGAGAATTTGGTGTTCTGGACCCTGAAATTGCCAGTTAATTAAGGATAAGCAAAGTGGTACTATTTTGAGATCTGGTGCTAACCCTGATCATAATGAATTTTTGTTTTCAGGTACCCAAATATCAAAAGAGTATTTATAAAGAAGTTCACCCAGAAGGTTGAAAGATTAAAATAAGAGTAACTATCGTCTGATATGCTGACAAGAATAGGTAGGCCTCTCCCCTTGGCCTCAACAAATATCACACCTGTACACATATCATTGGGCAACTGGTGTGAAGAGAGATAGCTGAAACCTGCTCTAGAAGTTCCAATTCCCTACAATCAAACAACTAGAGTATCACTAAGGGCTGTGGAGTTGGTTACCAGGGAGGGACTGGTCCAGAGCTGGTGGCTGACTCTGGATGTGGAAAGTGGGATTGGGAGGACTTTTCCTGGTGGAAGCAGTTCCATCTTGGTTAATAACCATCAGTATGGTTTAGATCTCACATCTCCCACCCACAGAGGGGACCTCCAGAGAGGCACTGAGGACTCTCTTGAGAAAACCATTCTAAGGATTTGGGTATCTCAGAGGTGACCACCAACCTCTGATTTTAACTTTCACTGGCAAAAAATAAAAATGGTTCTGTGTGTTAAAAAAGTGGGCATGAATGCACAATATACACGATTTAAATTTGACTTAGTTAAATGCAACTTAACTAAAATTAACCATATGTTCCCAATTCAACTGTCCACAATGATAATTTGGTTTGTCTTCTCTGAATTTAGGAACACCTCGTTGGGTGACCAATGGGTGGCCTGGGTCTCTTTAAAAAGCTGACTATGGATTCAAATTTATGTCTTTTTTTTTTTTTGCTCTTAGTAAATCTCATTGAACAAACTGAGACCTCCACAGCACTGCATTAACTTTAGAACTTCTAGAAGGGTCACAGTGTGGCTACATAGATACTCATTTTGTCAGATAATTGTGTTTCTCTCACTGAAAAGTAAAAGGTAAGGTCGATCCAGAATGACTTATCTTTACTCTTTTTGTCCCTGTCAACCTGTTATTCAGATTACTACAATTACACTGACCAAATTTTGACACTTTGTTGATATCAATCAAAGCATTTTCTCATTTAATGAACTCAATGAGGTATTAATATATGCAAAGCACAGTACTCTGTAACAAGAGAAATGGAATGAGATGTGATATTTTTACTTAAGAGAGAAAAAGAGGCACATAAATACTGAAACTAGAAGGAGAAAAAGAATTAAGTGCTATAGAGAACTGAAGATAAAGCGATTTGCAAATTGTGTCTCTCAGGGGTTGAGAGTGCTCAGCTACTGCCATTTTCCAAGGCTCCTGATATACACAAAAACAAAAACAAAAAACCCCAAGAGTTCAAGTTTAAGAATCAAAAACTTTTAATACAAGAAGCATATTATATGTTTGCAAGAAAATTATAAGATTCACAAAAAGGATGTAATTCAGAGAGTTGAGTTGGCATGTTTGAGAACTGAGGCCCAAGTTGAAAGTTGACTGGCGAGTAATTTCTTCCTGTCCTCATTTGGAGGTCACGTTAGTGTCTACCTGGCCCTTGTCCCAAGAGTGAGGCCAGGGAGCAAATAATAGGTGCTCAATAAATATTTTCCAAATAAGTAAATAAATAAATGGAATACAAAGACTCATGCAAAGACATAAAACTAGGTTATACTTCTAAGCTTATAAAATATGGGTAAAGTTATAAATTTATAAGTAATAACAGTTGCAATTTATAGAAAATCTTAGACATAGGAAAGAATCAGTAAAAGGGTGAAATACTACCAATGGGAGCTCTTTGCCTAAAACAGGCTTTAGGAACTGTACCCTTTTAGGGCAGGAAACAGTTGTCAGGGTACCTCAGATGAGAGCTCATTTGTAGTGATTCTGAAAGCTGTGGGTGCAGAAGTCATACTATGTATATGTAGGGTCTGAGATTTGGGGGAAATCATGGGGGGTTCTGGCAATTTTTTCACATTCCTGGCAGCAATTAGCTCAGGCAAGGGTGTGAAGGCCAAGGAGGCAGATTGTTTTATTCACATACCTAAACCATTCCCACCCCATAGGCATACAAATACTTACTTTGGGGAGACAACAGGTTTTGTTGGTGATTGGACATAATTTTGTTTTCTTGAAGCTGGAGGAAGAAGAGTTAGCCTGAAAGGAAAAAATGAACAGCAAACTAAAGAAAACTGGAAATTCAGAAATCTGTTTTAGTACTCCCAGATTAGGTAAGTCCCCAATGAGACCCCAAACTGTAATATATCGGCTTACAATGGACGGTCTTTGGCAACCTCAGGCCCAGTGCCTTGGAACTTGTTCACTGTCTTTTGGAGGTCCCTGGGTTGGCAGCACAGCTTGTCCCCCAGTTCCCAAAGCTCTTGGTCCCACATGGAGGGACAGCTGTCATGGGACCCTTTGGTTGGAAGCCCTCCTCTCTCTGTTCAATTAACTCTGAGATATCCTCATTTATTTATTTTTAAAATTTATCTTTATTGTTGAAATTATTAACGATGATGCCCCCTTTTTTCTCTATTGACCCCTGCTTGCCCCCCCCCATGCCTTCACCACACTATTGTCTGTGTTCATATGAGATGTCCTCATTTAAAAGGACATTAAGCCTAGTCAGGACTGGCAAGAGCAATGTGCAGCTAACAAGCTGGCAGGGAAAGACATGCAAAGCTAGGCTTTCTGGCCCTCTTGGGGTTTTTGCTACCAAATTGTTTTGGAAATCTTGTAAGAGAAAGAAAGCTGCAAATGGACCCCAAGTCCCCAAACCCTAGTCCATCCCTGGTTATCCTTACTTGGGTTTCCCTGTGGAGGTCTTTCTTGGTGGCTGAGGAGTCTTGATTAGCTTCCGTGGTCCCAAGTGCCAGGGGTCCCAGCAGGTGCAGTAGATGAGAGGGTTGGGGTACATGGCAGGAGGTCTGGGGCAGTCTTGGCTGCTAGGTCAGGAGGCCCCCTTGCTGAGATGGGGGAAAAACAGCAGAGTTACAGAATTTAGAGTCAAAACAATACTTAGAGACAAATGAAAGAATCCAGGGAGAGCCCAAAGCACAGATGGTAGATTCTGGAAGCTGTTGATCTGGTACAGAGTGTTGACTATAGAATCACACTTCATCTCTTGCCACCCAGTAGTCCTGACTTGAAAGCAATTTAAAATCTGCTATAACTGAGTGCTTACTGTGAGCCAGGTACACAATAAGTGATTAATTATTCTTATCCCAGTTTTATCGATAAGGATACTGAGACTCAGAGAGGTTGTGGAGGTAGCTAGTTACAGAGTTGGGAACAAACATAAGTCTACCTGACTCCTAAGCCCTGTCTCTTTCATCAGGTCACACTAGCTCTCACAGAAGTAAAGAGAAATCCCTACAGCAGGTCCTGCACAGAACTTTGTGGAAAATTATCTCTGTTATTCAAATTAAACTGGATCTCCCAATTTCTCATTCCTGGTCACCTGTAGGAACTACAGTCAAAACTCTTCCTTTTTGGCTCCATAAAAACAAAAACCCCTACTGTGAAAGTCTCCATGAAAGACAACTACCAGATAAACATGATCACACTTGATTACACTTGTTAATTCTCCTTTTTTCCCAGAACCCCACTAAAATGAGAGTGCAGGATTAAAAGCGGTTGGTTTAATTTCATGAAAACAAAGCGAATGGGAAAGGAGGCAGTACTGCACAGACGATGTCTATGTATGTTTGGCACAATAACTTCCTCACTTAGCACACTATGGGAAGCTATAGCCTGTGTGCCTGCAAAGGGGATATGAGCCAAAAGGGACCAAATCCCACGTGAAAGGCCCTGAAAGACTCAGAAGTTGGAACCAGTAGATGAAACTGATAGGAATTTCACAGATCCATGGAGCCTGTGGGAAGTCAAATAATGCTCCTTTCGCCAAAATCATGTCCATGTTCTAATCCCTAGAACCTGTGAATATGTTACTTTTTGTGCCAAAGGAGCTTTCTAGCTATGATTAAGTTAAGGCTTTTGAGACAGGGAGATTATCTGGATTACCAGTGTGAGCCCAAGGCAATCACAAGCATCCTTATAAAAGAAAGGTGGGAGAGTCTGAAGCAGAAAACGATCAGGTAGGAGTGATCAAGAAAGGGGTATGAGTCAAGGAAAATGGGCAGCCTTTAGAAGCTGGAGAGGGCAAGGAAATGATTCTCCCGTAGAGCTTATAGGAGGAACAAAGTCTTGCCAACACCTTGATTTTAGCTCAGTGAGACCCATTTTCAGATTTCTGTTCTCAGAACTGTAAAATAATAAATTGGTGTTGTTTTAAACCACTAAATTTGCAGTAGTTTGTCACGGAGCATTTGTAATAAGAAACAGAAAATTTAGGAAAAATTAGCAATAGAAACAGAGACCTAATAAAATAAAAATTGCATAATCACTCCAGGTTAGAAAATATTGTATAAGAAAGTAAGCATAATCATAGTAAGGTATACACATATATATTTACGTAAACACTTAATATTGGTTTAACCAAAAAGTGAGTTGTGACCACAATTGGGAGAAAGACAATGGAGGGAGGATGAGTAAGTGTTAAATCCTCACCCACCGCAGCAGGAAGTCAACAGAGAATGTCTAAAAAAATAACAAATGACTTAGACAAATGATTTAGAAGTATGAAGTTAAGTTCCAAAAGAAATAGCTAAAAAAGCTGAAAATAATTGCCTCCAGAGAGCACACTGAGGAGAACTAAGAAGGGTGGGGCAGATATTGTACCTGTTCATTAATGAATTTTTAACACTATTTGATTTTAAATGTCGGTGGACTATTTGATAAAAATTAAAACTAACACACACACACACACACAAATGTTATGAGAGCCAAGAGACTGACAGAAGCATTACAACGACAGCAGATTTAACTCAAATTTCTAAGTCAGTGACTGGTTTCCAATAGTACACTGCAATACATTTGCTTAAGAACTAACTGAAAAATGAAACATTTTCTCTAACATGACTGACCCTTAAGAAACCCAGTTATGTGGGCTAATGACTTGTCGAAGATAAAGGGGGCCTTACCATTAAATCCATTTTACAGATGAGGAAACTGAGGCTCAAAGTCATGAAGTGATTCTGGGACACCTAGTCAAGCTCATTTAACAGCACAAATACTTACAGCTCCTGCTGTGAGTACCATGCTAGATGCTGGGGGGATACTGAACACTGGCACCTTGTCCTCAGAAGTCACGCAGGTACTAGGGCAGTCGTCAGAAATGGAACTGAGTAAGCTGTGGAGTCAGGGCAAGAGACAAGGCCTTGGAGAAAGGCAGGATGTGCAGGTGGAGGTAGGGACAGGAGGAGCTGGCGAGAGGTCTGAGCCCAGGGCACATGTGAAGATGAGGGCTAGAAAGCAGGCCAGGAGGCTGGGTAAACAGCAAAGCCCTAAACACCAGGTGACAGGGCTGCCATATCTTGCAGTTTGTGCTCCCCTGTGTTTGGCACCCTGGTCAGGAGATCTCAGGGAGTTGGAGGTCAGGGAAGTGGATGGGGTGGAGCACCCCAGGCAAGAAGACAATGCCACAGGGGCTAGCACTGAGGTGAGAATCTGAAAGGAGGCTGCAGCAATAGCAAGACAGCTCTGCTTCTGCTTAGGATCCTGTATCTATCTGCCTCCTGCGAGGACAGGGGCGAATCCTGGGCAGGAAGTGAGAGGCTAGGCAGCCAGCTCCCAGGAAGGCACTGCCTTCCCCTTTCCAGTTCTTGTCTGCCCACCCGGGCTGCACCATTCGTGAAGGCCTGGACTTCACCATGTCATTCTCTGTGCTGCCCCGGGCCCGGCAAGGCAACTTGTCCGCCTGAGTATCTGATAAATATTTGTGACTTGACTAATAAACTGGGTGACTGTAACCACAGGAACCAGCTCAACAAACAGAAACAGATCCACAGATGAAAAGGCAAAAACGTAACGATCATGACAGTATTATACATACAGTGGAACCTCCGTTCTTGAACATAATTCAGTCTGGGAGGCTGTTCAAAAACCGAATCATTTTTTCCCCCATTAGAAAGAATGTAAATTGAATTAATCCATTCCAGACCCCCAAATGATTGTTTCAACCTTTCTTATATGTAGTACATATGTAACGTACTGTTTAATCTATAACCACTTTAAAAACAAAAAGAACATGGAATGTAAGTGAAAATTTAACCAAAAGGAAAAATTTAATAAGCAGCAACAAAAGCAAAAAAACCCACAAAAATGTTCACAGCACAACTTCTTGAGACGTTAACGGTGAGGTTCAGTGGAATTCTCTCCTTCCTCACCTGAGACCTGTGACTCATCATCTAACACCTATCAGCATGAAGCGGTTGTAGGGTTAAGAAGTGAACTGTTCCAGATGGGGACACTGAGGAACAAGGTTTCCCCGCAATATTAGAAATTAGAATTTAAAAAGGCCCGCGCGGACCAGCGGCGCCCTCTACACGGCCTGGGACCAACTGCACCATAGAGGACGCAGTGGGCCTTGGCCCTCCGGTACCGGTTGCCCTAGTTCCACTCCTGACTCATCAAGAGCAGGAAGCGCCGCAGGGGCCGCGGGGGCAGAGGTCCTCGAGAGCCGCGAACTTGGGGGTAGGCGCAGGCGCAAACGCGGACGCAGGCGTCTTTCCGGCGAACGTCCGGTCACGTCCCACCCCCACCCCCACCCGGCCGCGGACTTGGGGGTAGGCGCGG